GCACTTTGGACATGGTTCTCTCCCCTCCCCAATGCTCCCTCTCTTCTCCCCTCTGTTCCCCCCCCCCCCACTTTGGACGTGGTTCCCTCCCCCACAGCAGCGCCCTCCAACGCTCACCCCCACCCTTTGGAGACCGCCCCCCTACCCCGAATCCTCACCTCTTCCCGCAGGACAGGTGTCTCCAGTGTCGGCGCGGCCCCTTTAAGAGGCGAGGGGCTCAGCTCCCGTTCCCTTATAGCAGAGCTCCCGGGCTCCCTTCCGGTAGAATCCAGGGGCAGGATGGGAGATGTAGTTCCAGTCCTAGGCAGGACTCCACCTACCCCCGCCCTGTAGAGAGGCTGGCGAGGAGAAACAAAGAAAGAAAGAGTAGGATGAGCGTGAGAAAGAATAGAATGAGAAAAAGGAAGGAAAGAACACAGGGACAAAGGAGACAAGAAAGAAAGAGGCTGGTGCAAACAAAAAAGAGGCTAAGAAGACAGAGTGAAGAGGAGGAGGTGAAAGAGAAAGAAAGGAGGGAAGATCAAGGAGAGAGAGATGGAAAAAAAGAGAGCATAGGCGAGACTGGGGTATAGGTGTGTTGGAAGGAGGACCTCACACTGAGGAAAAGGCAGAATCTGACCTATGCACCTATGTGTGGAGGTCACCTGGTGCCTTGTGTGTACAACAGCCTCACACGAGGACAAGGTGGATGAGGTAAGAGCTTTTTGTTGGACCAACATCAGTTGGGAAGAGAGACAAGCTTTGGAGCACACAGAGGCAACAGCTCTGCCAACAGGAACGCTCTCCCATCAACATAGTGCTGTCTACACAACAGCAAAGAGTCCTGTGGCACCTTATTGCTGCTTTTACAGATCTAGATTAACACGGCTACCCCTCTGATACTGTCTACACAGGGGGTTACAGTCAGGAAAGGAAAGGAAACCCAAGCAACACCTTCAAAAGACGCGCCTGGGAGCTGACATTCATAATTTTGCTAGATACTAAAAATCATGGACTGAATAGAAACACTGGATTTATTCCTTATTACAACACTCTAAACCCACTTAAACCCTGCCCACCTTTTTCCTTTCCCCCCTGACTGGAGAGGTGTTAACAAAGGCCACTTCACTGTGAATGGTTTCAGAGAAGCAGCCGTGTTAGTCTGTATCCGCAAAAAGAACAGGAGTACTTGTGGCACCTTAGAGACTAACAAATTTATTAGAGCATAAGCTTTCGTGGACTACAGCCCACTTCTTCGGATGCATCTAATAAATTTGTTAGTCTCTAAGGTGCCACAAGTACTCCTGTTCTTTTCACTGTGAATGGTCCCTTGAAGTATCAGCAGCCCTTCAGCCTTCCCCACCCCTATGGACATAGGTGGTGTTGCCAACTCCCATTCTTTTGTCATGATGATTCTCAGGACGTTTGATGTTTTTCTGGAGTCAAGTGATTAGGTGGGAATCTCAGCTTTCATTTCAAACAAAAGTAAATTCCTAGCCCTCATGACTTCAGAGAAAAGCTTGAAAATGTGATGTGGGTGAACCCTAAAGGCTCAGAAAACAAAACTATGGGGCTTAAAGTGAGAGGAACAAAAAGGAGCTCCCTCTCGTTTCCTTGACTTGGGTAAGCAGTCCTCCCGCACCTCACGCGCGGTTGGTGCCATGACCACTTTCTTTCCTGTTTCAGTTAGCTTTATTAACCAGTAAAAACAACCCACTGAAACAGCATCCCAGTGAACCCAAGAAACAAAGTGTTGAAGACAGGATGCTCCCGGCGTGCTTGGTTCAGACCCTGTAACAGGATAGGAAAAGGGACTGGATATTTAAATAGGTGTCAAAGATATGCAGTGTCATAATTAATTACCATACAGTTTTTTGAAGGGATATTAAACCTTATGCTTCAGCTAAATCAGTCTCTATTAGAGATCAGGATGAGATCTATGTAAGGGGAAGACAGTCCCATAACTGCCTGCTGGACGATTCTTACACCTTTCTCTGAAGCAGCTTGTACCAGCCACTGTCAGAGACCGGATGTGGACTAAACAGGCCTGGGGTCTGATCCATTCTGGAGATTCCTGTATTCCCAGGGCTCATGTTTTCACACTAGTCTTCCTAACCATGAAGGTAGAAATGTCTGTTTTGAATGAAATCTGATTCTCCCCTAATCCCCTGCCTCCTGGAGCTAGATCTTTAAGAAAATCTCATGCGGTCCATCTTGACCGCTAATAGTGAAGAGTTTGGCTTGAAGCCTGAAATATTCCTTTGATATGTTTTTGTGGTCATTAATGTTGACCACATGCTATTTAAAAAGGGAAGAGTGGGCAACACAGTGTGCCTTGTGGGCGGGCTCTGGTGCTGCAGGGCCTCGCTCGGGTCACGTTGCGTAACCAGCGAGCAATGGTGTGTTGTACTCCCGAGCCCCGCCCCAGACTACCACACCCAGCAGGCAACGCGGCGAAAGGCTGCGTCCGCCGCGACGCTTGGCCGCAGGGCCTGCTGGGAGCTATAGTCCACGGGGAACTTCACTTCCCAGAATGCCGCGGGGGCGGGGGGTCGCCGCGCAGGCGCAGTGCGCTCGGCGGGTACAGGGGGTTGCTGGGCTCTTTTGTTTGGCGGAGGGCGGATCGCGAGCGGCCAGGCCTGTGGCGCGGCGCCGACGGTAACGGTTCCCCGCCGACCTCCACCGCCTCAGCCCGGCCCGGCCGCCGCAGCGCGCAGCCCCCGCCCCCACGGCTCCGTTTCCCCCCGGGCATCGTTGGCGAGGCTGTGAAAAGTGAGCGGGGCCCCGGGGGGCGGGGACGGAGCCGAGCCGCGGGGGGGGGCTGGGATGAGGGGAGCCGCGTGGGGGGCGCGCGGACGGGACGAGCTGGGGGGGGACGCGCGCGCTGGGGCTGGTGGGGGAGGGGGAGCTGCAAGAGGCGCGCGCTGGCACGGGGGGGGGCGGCGCTGGGACGAGATGGGGGGAGCCAGGGGGCGTGTTGAGGCTGGGGGGGCCCGGCGCTGGGGACG